GAATCAGATATACGTCATCTTTCTATTACATTGTTCAAACCCAGGTCTGAAAAAACCACTGAAGTTACACTGGCTTTATGCATGCCAATGCAAACATCACTCATGACAAAAGAATGGCATTCATACTTTCATTCCTTCATTTATGTTAGGGGATCAGTCACTTGTACTCCAGTTCTAAGCAGTGGGAAAATTCTGTTACAACTCCTTATTTCAGTATTAAGAGAATACTCATGAGCTTTTATAGCGTATGGGTAGAGCTTTACGCTATATCATTTAACAATAGTCTAGGAATTTTGAAGAGGAAGATGCTCTTGGTGTCTAAATGTTGAATTGTTGCTCCTGCAAACTTCCTTGAGGTGGTAGTAACAAAATGGCTAAAGTAAAAAGCAGGGCTGGGACAGATAGGGGAGAGGAATGGCAGAACTGGAAAAAGTCAGAAGCATACACCTTTGTGGAGAAAAGGTAGTGCAGAAAGAAATGGAAAATATGGTGGAAAAGTAGACGTGGAGTATAAAAATGGGCCCTGAAGAAGAAAGGGAAAGAAACTGGCAAATATAAATGAAAAGTAGAATAGTCTAGCAGACAATTCTAAGGTGTGTGAGTCAATTTTCCTGAATTAGTCCTCTACCTGATTTTCAACAAGTGATCTTGAAAAAAATGCATTCTATTTAATGCTTCAGCTTCCTTATCAGCAAAAAGATATAAAACATATGATTCTCAGAAAGAGTTGAGAAGACCTTCAATTCATGATCTATTGCTATTAGAGAATGAAAAATTGCTTTGTTTTTTGCTGTTTAGTATCCAACTGCCTAGTTAATTAGTTCCACTGTCTATAGTACTGTACAAAAACATAGAAAGAAAAAAATTCTGACACTGAAAGGTAGAGGTATGAAAAATTATGAGAAAAACAGTTACAGATGAACTTTACCAAAATTTATCTTGAAACTGTAGACCACATATAAGCATGAATACTGTAGTAGTTTCTTTGTATGTGAGGATGGAGAACTGTAGTACAAAGAGAAGTAGGGTGGAATTAACATTGTTCTTCTTGATTTTTGGAACCATTATTCAGCAAGAAAACAGACACCGACATTTTGAGAAAAGTAGAATGAGAGACCACAGAAGTCAGAGGCAATGAAAAATCTGAGCTTTTTTATCCAAGAACAGCTAGTCTGAGATAATGACTTCCATGAAAATAATATATGCTTTTTATTTTATTCCAGACAGAAAACACGCCCCAGAAACTTGAAAATCATTAATAGTGACAAAAGGAGCCAAGTGAAAGGAAAAATTTGTAACTAAGAAATTTTCCTCAGTTTGAGAAACAGTAAAACACATATAATGAGTGGAAACTACAAGCCTAGCAGCAAATACGGCTTAGAATTTACTTTCACATTTCTTTCCTTCTAATTTTTGGATAATACTAAGATTTCCTTTGTTTTTCCCAAAGACTCACCAGGCATATAACAGACTTGCAAAAATACTTCCTTTCCATGCTCAGACTAGAGAAGTAGATCTTAAGAGGAGAGAGAGCACTGAAAATTTCCTTTGTTTTCTGGCTTCTTAAAGGAATTATAATATCTAGTTTCTCAGATCATGAGTAGGCAAATGATGATCTGGAGGACCTAATAAAGCTCTGGAGACAACATTCTCCTTTCTCATCAGAGGTATTTCACAGGGATATTTTCACAAGTGTAACAGCATTTCATAAATTCATTCAGGTTGGAAAAGACCCTTGGGAACATTGAGTCCAACCATTAGCCCTGCTCTACAAAGCTCACCCCTAAATCATATCCCCCAACATCACATCTAAATGATATATATTTTCAATGTATATCCCCTGTGCTCTGCAAGATTTTAACTTTAGCAGGTCTCAATCTAGCAGCCAATTTGTTTGTTTGATTCCCGTTTAGGTTCCCCTTCAAAAAATGCAATTCTATTGTTTTAGCACCACACAGCTTGGTCAGGTTTCAAAATATTTTTAAAGAAAGATTTTGGTGGGCTCCTACATAGATAATTCATGTGGAAATTACTGTCAGTCTCATGGGCAGCTACCAAGACTCACTGTGATTGGAACTAATAACTATTACCAAGATATGATAATTTCATTTAACATTAGGAAACCATCTGGTGCCTTCATTTCTTGTTGTAACATAATGCCAAGGTTTTACTCAACCCACTCTCATTAAAACAAGACAAAGCAGCTATGGAAAAACATACACATAGGTGATAAATTTATCCTCTCAATCATCTTCGTGTAACCCCTCCCAGAACTCATGCTATCATAAGTTTTCGAAGGAGGAGGGTACTACCAAAATCTAATCTGAGCTTCTCTATAATGAAGGCTGTATATTTTGCTGAGTAGCTTCTAAATCAAAAGTGTAACATGTTTGGGCTATGATGTATCTATTTTCCTCACAATGACTGCATGTGATGGATGAATCCTGCTCATTCCTAGATAAGTTGTACCAGTGGATAATTACTCTTAAAAAATGCACCTTATTTCTAGTCTGAATTTGCCTAACTTCAGCTTTGAAAGATTGGATCTCATCAAGCCTTTTTCTGCTAGATTAAACAGTCATCTACTGTCAAAAGTCCCATTCCCATGAAGGCATTTACAGACTGTGGTCAAGTCACCTCTTAACCTTCTCCTCAGCAGATTAAACAGATGGATCTTCCTTAGCCTCTAACTATAATGCTTATTTCCAGACCTACAGTCATTCTTTCACCTTTAATGAACTCTTGTCAATTTAAAACATATTTTGAAGTGTAGTCACCAGAACAGGACACAATAGTTCATTAATAGCTTCCCTAATGCCATAAAAAAAGCAGCAATACTTCCTCCTTCATATTATTTGTCCATATATTAGAGAATAAAGTATATGTCATTTAAATCCCTTCTTTAGCTTACTATCAAAACAGAAAGTATTCTGAAAGGAATTTAAAATATGAATATTTATCTTGGGTTTTTTACATACAACGCAGAAAATATTCACAATTCTGTCTTTTCTGTACTACCTATACTTTTCTATACTATCTACTTCCAGTATCACTCCTGTTACTTAAGATATTTTTCTGATAGTTTTTGTCTTCCTTTATGTTTCCTATTCTTAAATGCTTTTTATGTTATTATTTAGTAGTAGCGTCTATAAGCTATTCAACTCTAGCAGTAACTTTTAAGGCAATTCCACAGTCTTATTTTAAAATATTTTCTTGCATTTTCATTTTTTTTCACATACAGAAATTACATTCCTGAAAAAATTTGCTTACACAGATTAGGTGTATATTTTGAAAATACACAGTGTATAGGTATGTATATGGATGTACTATGTTGAACCAAATTATAATAGTCTGCTTTCTGATAACTCAGTCTCATTAGGTAAAAATATTTAATTTTACTAGAAATTCTACTATGACAGAATAGACTGCATAAAAATGTTTTGGTTTATTTTTCATAGAATACATATTTTATTAGATTGTATAGGAAAAAGAATGTATAGGAAAAGGAATTGTATAGGAAAAAAGAATTGTATAGGAAAAAGAATAGGAAAAAGGAAAAAGAATGAATAAAACAAAAAATTAAGGATGGGGAGAAGAAAATCTAAAAATTAAGAAGATGCAGACTAAAGCGCTTCTGGCAAGCAAAAGGAAAGACACTACTAATTTAAACTTCTTTCCTAGTATTTTATAGTTCACAGTTCAGATCTGATTTAGAATAAGTTCAAAGTCTTCCGCCAGAAAAGAATTTAAATTAAAGCCCTGTAGTGTTTTCTGGTAACTCAGTAAATACTTTGTGTCATATCTTTATGTCCCAAAATGTAAATAATTTTGACTATTAAAAATCTCACTCTTTAAACTTTCAATATTTTTTCCTTTAAGTGCTTTACATATTTCCTGACATCAAGAGATGTCTTACTGATTATTTACTTCTATCAACTTCATCAGCTCCTTTACCAACAAGTATTCTGGTGAAAGTACTCAGAACCTTCCCAATGTACGCAATAAGTGGCCTAAAATATTCTGAGACACTGAGGTTGAATTTAGTTTTATTTCCAAGTAGAAGCTAAAAGCCTTCTGAATATTTTTAAAAATTAAAACTATGTGTACACTTTGATTGGTGACTATTTAGCCTTGATACCTAAACAAATATATTACTCTCTGAATCTGATGAAAGGAACCACTTTACAAATTACCTTATTCCTCAGATTGTCTAATTTCAAATGCTAATTTAACAGACACTGCGAAGCTCCAGGTGACAGCAAAATAACTCATCAAAACAAATATATTAGCTAAAAGTCTTCAAAATGTACCAAAGGTCAGACAAATACTCTTAAACATCTCTCTCTTTGTAAGACCCGAGACACCTTTTTGCTATCAAACATAAGAAGTTATGGAACATACCATCCTTTTTCCCTTAATGCATATTTCTCGCTAATTTAAGCCCATTTCAATGCTTGTTGAACCTGGAAAAGAATGATTTCTCTCTAATCCAGCAGAACGTTTCACTATATTTCAAACTGAATGATCTTAGTAGCAGGTTAAAGGGAATAGAAAAACTGGAAAAAAATGAGCTTTTAATACAGAATCCAAATTTGATTCACAAGTTTCTTAAAAATACAAAGTACAGAACATTTTTCTCAGTCCAGCCACCAATACTCATACTATGGTCTGGTTGCTTGAACAAAGGCTACAAGTATAATACTATTGAACTGATACTGTAACACTCGACCTGACAAAACTCATTCTTGTACACAGCTATAGGAGATGCATCTAAGTGAAGTTTTCAGGTTTCTTCACATACTCCACCACTTTAAGTTCAGAGAAATTTTCTTCTACTTTGCATTTGATTCCTTTGCTATTTTCCAAATCCTCAAAAAAAGTGATTTTCTGTTGCTTTTGGTAGCAGTGGGAATCATATCTGTTGCTCCTTATCAAAATGCAGAAACTATTACCCCACAACTGGGGTATAGCATCCTTTCAAACAAGAATATAAAGCTTACCTTGAAGAAAGTCATGGTTGCTCCATCTTCAACTGCCCCATACTCTATCTTTGTCTGTTTGGCCAAATCATCAGCAGAATCAATAGGGGATTCCATACGTTCCACTGTCAGAAAGGCGGCTAGGTTAGCAGTGTACGAGGAAATGATGATAAGTGTGAAAAACCACCAAATGCCTCCCACTATCCTGGTGGAGAGGGCTTTGGGCATGAGCTCAGAACCTAACGAAAACCAGGGGAGAAAGGTGAAACCAGTGCACAGAAAACAATAAGTGTTCAGCACTTTTTGCTACAGTGGGGAGATGGAATCACTGTGCAAAACAATCTTTAAGCTACAGGCTTACATATACTGCTTGTACAAACACAGACAACTGAAATGAAAGATAAAAACTGATTACACTTACAAAGAAATATCTTTTTGGAGCTGTAGGAATCAAGAGATAGCAATGGGAGACTCAGTGATAAGTATCTCTTTAAAATTTGTAAATATATAAATATATAGCGATGTGAAAAAAAAGCAATTAGTTGAACTGACTTCCCAGAAAAAAATCCTGGCTGGACTGATCCTCTAGGTTAATACTAATACTTATATAGTTCTTTATTTTCAAGAGAATAAATAAATATCATTTAAGTATTTTGCAAAATCTCACCAAAGCACATAAATATAAGCTATTGATAAAAGAAGCAGATATGAAATAAAATATTTCATATCTGAAATACAAAATCTGAAATCTATTA